CCCTCTGACAATAAAAAAGAGAAGCGAGAAATTTGACCCAAAACATCATAAATGCTGAAGGTAAGGCTGACAGCAGCTGGGGTACCCCAGGAAGGGACAAAGTACACAATCCAGGAAGAGCTGGTAGGAATTCTTAACCATCCCCCCAGTAAATCGACCTGCACTTGCATAACTTACAGGGTTCTGCTGATCACTTCAGCTGGTTCACTCACACCCATACACACACACACATGCACACATGCATGCACAAGTGGAAAGAAGGCAGAACTCCGGGGAAAGGTGATGCCGTACGAGGTACAGACACCAACCTCCTCATCACAGGTCGGAGAGGTGGCTGCTCTCCTGCCCCTCCAATACTCCCAGAAGCAGGTTTAGCCTCATTTCCACAGAGAGACAGAGACCTGCCGACAAGTACAACCTTTGCCACTACGAGGGTGCCAGCAGGAGAGATTGTCTTCTTTCAAGGCTTAGCATGCTGTTAAGCCTTACACTTTCAAGATGACCTGGCCGCGCTGGGTTATCCATTCATCTGGTCACTCATTCAGTCACCCATTCATATATCCAACAAGAATTTGGGGGCATCTGTTGTGTTTCAGGCTTTCCGTTGGGACCTGGGAATACAAAGATCAATTCAGCACAACCCCAGCTTTCAACAACTTCACTTTCTAGTGTGACAGGTAGGCACACTCGTACACACCATCACACATGTTCTGAGATAGATGTAAAATATGCACAGGGCATGACTGAAGCGAGAGTAAGAGAAATGGCAGATCGGAGACTTCCTGAAGGAGCTGACGTGGAGACTCCTAGGCTGAGAAGAAAGAACAATCTAGGGATTAGCAGGAATAAAGAAGTCAGGACCAGCAGGCTTGTAGATCCGGCCTCGGTGCCGACTCTGACCAGCTGAGGAGTGTGGGAGTGGAGAGCAGGTGCAGGGATGCTGGGAGCAGCTGTGGCAGAGTCAGGCAGGGAAGGGCCTAGTGGGCCTGACACTCGCCATGCCTGTATCAGGGTGTTCAAAACCCAGACTGAAAAACTCGATTCTTCAGTCAGACAAGCATCAATTCTCTCCTCAGCTCAATGGATGTGAGTTACGGTTCCTGTCCTGCAAAACAGAAAGAGCTTCGCTGGGATGAGAGCCTGCAGGGAGCAGCCGCAGTAAGCCTTTCACTGATTCTTTTTGAGTTAGGAAGGGTCTAGGATGAGAAGTGGGGAATCTTGAAGTCCCTGTCCAATGGACTATAGGAAACAGCTGACCATTCCTGCGTTCTCACGTATCAGACAGACCTCCGGATGCTGAACCAAGGATGACCCATCAGCTGGTATATAATGTTGTTTCCCCCTTGTTCTTGTCCTTCTTTACGCATCGTGAAATCTCTCTCCCTGAGCAGGAGCAGGTGAAGACTTGACCACTCTAATAAGATGAGCTAGTAAGACACCAGACCTGACCTAGAGCTAGGAC